GTAATAAATAATTACTGAAAATCTAATGAAATAAAGACACTAGAGATTTTACAGCTTTTTTCTCTCATCATCTCCCCAGACCTCCACCACCCCCACAAAAAACAGCGTGGAAAACAAAAACAAACCAAAAAAGAATAAAGGGGGGAGGGGGGAGAGAGAGAGAGAGAGAGAAACTAACTCTAAGTCCTCTAAGCATTTATAAGGTCCAGTTATGTTATTATCTGTCTTACATTTGCACCTTGCATAACTTTCTAAAGAAGGTTACTATTTTTCCTGATCTATATTCATACATAATAAAAACAAAAAAGCAAACAAAGTATCTTCAGCCAATATTCTATTCTCAATCCAAGTGCAACTGAAGTTGAACAGAGAGAATTCCTTCAAGTAGATACCATTTTGTTCTTTGATTTTAACCTTGTTTTGGATTGATTTCATAACTGTAGGTAATGATCACATCCTAGTTGCCAAATATCTATTTTTCTCCTCTATCCTTCTCAGTATGTTTTGTCACCTTTGTGATTAAGAACTCATAATGTGTTTATTGACACTTTCAGAACAAAATTTGACACTGTTGGGAAACCCCTTATGTTGAAAATTATTTTTTTAATCTCAGTGAAAATTTCATTTCTGAATATGATTCATCAGACAGTAGAGTTTTTCAGAATACATACACATACAGAATATACTGGATGACCTAGATGGGCAATGCTATAATATGGTTGCTGTTCTTTAGAGTAATTAATATCCTCAAAGACGTTTTTAATATTTTAATCACATTGCTTTATTCAACTCTTATCTCTTCTCAAATTTATCAAAGGTTTCCAGTACAGAGATCCACTTTTTCTAGAGTGACTACAGTATCTGGAACAATGAATGCCTACTACTTGGTAGAATTTTTGATATGAGCCCCAGGAGAAATAATTACTATTTTCATCTATAAAATCCTCCAATTCTGGTATCCTAGTATATTTATAATTTATCGTGGTACACGCATTTCTTTTTTTCTCAGTTCTCAGACAAATCACTGTTGCTAGTAAAACCTTTAATGATAATAGCTTAGAAGTAATTGTTCACCCGAAGCACTGTCTATTTAAAATACTTGAAATGCAAACTGAATGTGACATTTGTTCATCCAATTTCTGATTCCACAGAGAAGGAGTTTAGCAAAATTGTAGACAGTGTTGTAGGGGCCAAGGCTGATGTTAAGAGGAAATAAATTCTGCCCAATATAGAGCATTACCTAGAAAAAGACAGTAGCTTGCAACACATGAATAATTAGAGAAATTGGAGGCTTTGCCCGTCAGAATACATGCAAATCCTCTTTTCTTCATTCTTCCTTTCATGGTTGTTGTAAAAGTAATCAATGCATGACTACATATTACAGGCCTTACATATAACATATCAGTTCTTTTTTATTGTTCTTTCCAATATCAGTGTTAATTGAATTCACTGAACAAGTGACTAACGAAATCTACATTTCAGATCTTATCAGACCAACTGACTTGCAAGTTAGAAAACATATGGGAAGACCAAAAGGCCAAATGTTACATCTCACAGGCATCTTATATGATAGTTCTTTCTTCCCATAAATACAAACCACTATTTTTTTTTAATTTTTCTTTGCTAAAAAAAAAAAAAGACAATGAAATGTATGATGTTGAAAGACCAAGTCATATGGAAGAAGCTTGTTTACCAGTTTGCAATGAAACTAAAGTTCTACTGATTTTGCTGTAGTGTAGGGAAAAGTAGCAAATATGAAGTAAAATAAACTTGTCAAATGCTAAAAATAGTTCTGAAAAGACTGGGTCTCCCATTTCTATACTACATAACTTAGTTCTTTTACCTGCCCTTCTTGCTGAAGCACAATGGTAACCTAAGACATACATAACATGAGGAAGGAAGCAATCATTCTGAAAAAGACTTATGTACGATAGTGAACAACAAATTAGGCATGGGTTTCCATAGTGATAAAAGCAACAAAAGGCTGCTGCAGTTTTCAGCTGTCTATTGTAAGACAGTTACAGAGCAAAGACTACAGTCTCTTCTCCAAAAACCAGGATGTCAGTGTACTCAAAAATGCCCATTCAATTTTAGTTCCATATTATGAAGAAAATATTGAAGGAATTGGAAGGGGAATAATAATAATAATAATAATTAATAATAAAAAATAATGATAATAATAATACCAAGAAGTTCTGCAAGACGCAAAAACGTAAAGTGCTATGGATTTGGATTTCTTGGTTGGATTTCATGTTACCTTAAAAATGCAAATTCCAATGAGTACTTTTTTCTGCACGTCTCCTCTGTGGATTATCTGATGTTGAATAAGAAATGATCTCATACTACAGCCTTTCTGCCATTGGGAACACTAATGGGGTCTCTTGCCCATCTGGCATTCTGCTCTCCTGAAACTTACAGAAATTCCTGTCCAGTGGGGTTGAAACTGGCCAGGAGTTAAAAAGCTATTGAGGGAGGAAGAAGAGGAGAAAGACCATTAGCCACACAAAAATCTAGGCTAGCAAGTGTAACATAGACAGTATGATCATATAAGCCTTGTTTCCCTGGGAAACTAGGCTAATTATCAAAGGTCTGGAAAGATTCACTTATGATGAAAGTCCAAAGGCCCCAAAGCAGAAAAATACTTAAACACTTAAAGCTAAAGTACTCTATTGGATAGAGAACTGAAAGAACCATACATGATAGCTAGGTTAAAAGACAAATGATGAAGAATGTGATAATCTACAGAAATAGAAATGTTAGTCAAGGATGAAGAGGATTTATTTGTACCAAGAGGAGTTATTAACAAGCAGAATTACAAGAAGGAATAATGTGATTAACTAAAAGAAAGCTTTAGGCTAAATATCAAGCAACAGTCTCAGTGAGCAAAGTCTATGAAAAGGGGTTTCTAGACATTAGTGATGGAAGCTCAATAGCTTAAGACAATAAAAACTGCACTGTAAAAAAATAGTACTCTACAGAACAATGCAGGGGTAGTTAGCTTGACAAGAATATCTATCTCGAAGTTTCTTCTTAACACTTCTTTCTAGATTCATAACACAATATAGGGCACTGAACATACTGTAAAAATCTCTACTAACTGGTAGTGGAACTGAAAACTAAATCAAAAATGCATCCAGTACAATTATGTGTTCCTAGTCAGATGATGACAGGAGGTTGCTTGTTTTCTCATGATACCTTTGAAATTAATTTCATTGTGACTAAAGTCTTTAGTATGGAATATCAAGCCAGACTGGAGAGATATGCATAAGAACATTTTCAATTTTTTTTTTATTTTTTTTTAAAGTCGAAGTATATTAGTTCAGAATTTGAGGTTGAAAAAAGAGGAACAGTAAGAAGGAAATGTAATGTATACAATGAATAAAACTAATAAATTTAGCTACTATCCTTGAGTCTTCATCTAAATGGCTGAAACCAGACGGGACATGTAAATGCATACATATATCTACCCCCCACATGACACACATATGACACACTAAAAACAAGTATAATATTAGACAGATAATTATTTATATATAGTTAGTAATATATCTACTTTTACAAATAAAGCGATTGAAGTTACTTCTGCATTTGTGCAACATTTTTAGGCAATACTGAATAGTATGGTTTTGGTTGTTATTATTTTCTAGCAAAACATAAAAGAAAATAATCAAAATGCACAAACCACCAAGTTATACAGTATGTTTGATATAGCAATTTCTAACGTTCATTTAATATAGCTGAGCTGCAGTGACTAATACTGCCCGTGTCCGCTAGTACAAAGACCTAAATAAGGTTCCAGACTAGATTACGTTCATGCAGGTCTTGTTTTAACGGAAATTGGAGAGATGAAAAAAAGATTATAGGAAGACACATTATAAAAACAGACCTCACAAGTCAAACTTAATAGTGAAACCGTTCTCTTTCATGTAGACAACCATGAAAACAAATATCCTGTAAGCACTAGATATATATTGTATCTTCCTACCAGATCTCTTTGCCTCCTTGAGACAGATTCCCATTCATCTCATGACTATATAATTTGATCATAGTTGACTAAGGCACAGCAGGGGAAAGGGTCTGTCTGATAAAGTATCAGGCTCCAGGAAGATAGATAAACAATTTCATGATTTCTAGTTGTAACAGGAATGGTACAGTGGTGGATATAAAGATATTAGTTTCATAGGAATACAAATATCAAGCTTCTACAGTTTTTTTCTTACCAAACATGTGTTGTTTTTTTTTGTTTGTTTGTTTGTTTTTCCCGTTAGGTGAAAACGACAGTCTGATTATGACAAACTATGACAGGATGCCAGAATAAAATGCAAAAAGTGGAATTAAATCTTTGTGGATTTGTCAATGTGAAAGCACAGAATTTTTTTTTCTTATTTTAAAACAATTAAAATAAATGAAGCAAGGAAGTTTCTTTCCCTTTTTATTTGTTTGTGGGTTTTTTTGTTTGTTTGTTTGTTTAGGATTTTTATGAAAAAAAGTGTTATTTAGAAGTAGTTGAATCAGTTGCTTATCAAGGTCTTTCACATTTAATGACAAACCTCTTTCACGGGGTCACAGTGACAGGTTGCTTCTTCTATAGTACACTAGAGTAATGTCTGTTTGTAGTGCTACCTCATGTTCTAGATATTTTAAATGAAGTTTTGAGTAATAGTATTTGAACAGCTACGGTGGACTTCGTTTTCATACATTAACAAATATATTTGGTTTGCGTATATTAACAGAAGTGTACAACACCTGTTACCCATTAATTCAACTGTTACATTATCTTTGTAATTATATTACATCTTAGTTGAAAAATACGGTGATATCTAGTCAGGATGATACCTGCTTTTACTTATAAAAATTTGAAGGAAGGAAACATATTTTACAGCAAAGCAACACTTACAATCCCTGAACTGCATCTCTTTTTTTTAAGAATGAAAGTATCTTATATTCTGGAACAAGCAATTCTTAAAGTTGTTGTACTATTTAATTTATTACGTACATACCTGTGATTCTTTTACATTTTCAACAGTGAAGTTGAACCAAACTCGAAAGCGTGGGTTACAGGTATCTGGTCTAATGAACAGGTCATACTCAAACTCTGTGATGTGGTCCACCCGTCCAAGATTACCTAATGAGAACATACGAAAAAGAATGTATTTCAATAAATGAAAAAAATCCAGAACAGGAGCTATACAGAGAAAAGTTTTTTAAAAATTACCTCCAATGTTTAAAATATATGATATGTGTATAAGAGACTTTACAAAAGTCCAAAATAATTTTTAAATGACAAAGTAAGTAACCACAAAGTAAGATATATATAATACATACCAGTATGTAAAATATATGTGAATACATATAAAAAAAAAAAGTCTGCAAGGGCTTTTATTATTCAATCAATTTGACTTTTTGTCTTCTCTAATCTTATTCTTTCAGTTAAGCATCCTCCCACCCTTTTGGTTATTCCACTTTTTCCCCACTTTTCTGATAAAGTTTCCATTTTCTGCTCATGTTCAAGTACCTCTAAAATTAGTTCCCAGAGTTTCACATGGCACATCTGGCCAGTGCTGTGTCCACAGATGGCCAGGACTCTATCTCCTTTGTTATTCAAAAGCCATCTTAATATATCTCCTTTACCATTTGGGGCCACTATCACCTCCTTCCACAGAAACAAATGAGGCTATAAGGTTTCACTTTAGCTTTTTCCTGGTGAATTTCATGGAATAAATTTTTTAAATGTGGTCAGAGCTATTCCCCATGGCATTACTTAGCAAGTAACCAAACTGGCTATAGAAGCAAAGTTCAGCACCAGGAAACATGCTAAGTGCTTTTAAATTGCTAACTTGCCATTTCGCCTTTGAAATGTGCCCAGAAATCTAAAGACAGGGCTTAGACCTGTCCATTTCATCAATATACTACAAAAATAAGATTTCACATTTTCCTATTCCAACCCAAAACCCATCCTATCTGATCTTGTAAGACAGGGTCGTTCCCAAATGCTGCTTTACATGCAAGAAAAAGATTAGCAGTGTTAAGACAACCTGTTTTTATGATTCCTGATATATTTGGGTGTAGGATATATAGTGTTGGGTTCAAATAGTTATTTGTAACATTATTGGAGCTAAACAACTCCCTCCTCAGCAAGTTGCATTTCAGTTCGTATAATTGTTCATTGGTAACACACTACTAAATATAAGCAAAAGTAGCAAAATTTGGCTGATCAGCTATCTTGGAGTGGAGAAGCAGGGAAAAAAAAAAAAACACTTTCAAATCTGTTCATCAATATATTTTCAGGATGTCTCTTATCCTAAATTGTTTCTGGCTTTACCAATTGAACAGTGAACACTTCCAATCTTCCCTATTTTTAATGTTACACTCTTTTTTCCTGCCCACAGCCTTCTTTTCAGAACAAAATTCTCCTGTTTCCCGCTGCAGAAAACCACTTCATGCTAACAATCTGCTCCCAAACACTTGCCTGAAGGATACATTTGGAATACGAAATATTTGAAAAAATGGCAATATTGTACAGTGAGTCCTTTTCCAAACATAAATAAAGTTATCTGCCATACAGGGTGCCCATGTCCAGGCAATGACAAGGCCTGTAGGAGAAGCTGTGAGCAGAGGCCGAGTGCTTCATGCTGGTCACTGCCTGCTCCAATGGCCCCACTGTAGGGCACGGCCAGGTCCCTCAGCGACGCTGGTGACACCTCTGTGAAGGTGTATTCGAGACAAAACATGGCACACAGGCAGGGAAGAAAGCTGAGGAGCAGCTCCACAAGCACCAAGGCCAGAGGAGGTGGTAAGGAGGTGCTCCAGGCCAGACACCCTTGCAGCCTGTGGAGGAAGCGTGCTGGAGAAAGCGGGTATCTCCTGAAGGACCTGGGGAGGACCCATGCTGGAGCAGGGGAAAAATGTGAGGAAGAAAAATCAGCAGAGAGGGGCTATCAGGGACTGACCACCTGCCCTCTCTCTAGGTCCCTGTGATCTTTGTTGCGGGGGCAGGAATGAAAGAGCGACGTTGATCTGGGAAGGAGGAAGGGGTGAGAAAGGTTGATTTTAATTTGTCTTTGTTTCTCTCTACTCACCCCTATTTCAATCAGCAATAATTTAATTTAAAAAATAAAATAAAAAAATAAAAATAAAAATAATAAAAATAAAAATATCCCCCCTTTCAGTTCATTTTCCCAGGAACTAAATGGATAATTGGTAAGTGATCTTCCCATCTTATCTTGACCCACAAGCTTTTTTATCTTATTTTCTTTCTCCCTTTCTGTTGAGAAGGGAGAGTGAGAGACCAGCTGGGTGGTCCGAGCTGTTTAGCAGTATAGGTTGGATTCCAATTACCTCGCACAACAATAATTATAAGGTTACATGGAAATAATAATAGGGACAGGCCACAGTTCAGGTCACGGGTCACGAGCTCTCTCTGGACATAGCTTAATGCATGGGCACCCAGAGTCACTGCAACCTGAGTTGCACATGTGAAACTGGTGGATCCTCTAAGATTAAGGCAGCAAGCTGGATGAACACAGACTGTGAACGAGGTCCGGCATGTAAACTGTTAGGTATACATGTGTCCAATGATCCCAACAGTTCCACATAAGGAGTAAGTTATCTGCAGCACAGACCAGAAGGTGCAAATTCTGATGGAAGTATTTCCAAATGAGGAAGCAAAAGCATTTAAATTTACAGTTTAAATTCACAGATCATTAAAAACAAACTGCAAGCAAAATGAAATCTTGATTTCTGACCTACTGAACATTTCAGTTGCTATTTCAATATCAATCTGAACTGTTCTGGAGGCAGACGGCTCGCTCTGAACTAATTCTTTGCAGTCCATAAGATCCCTGAACTAGCACTGGAGAATTCTACTGATGTCAGTGAAATCACTGATGGTGAAGTGCTGGTACACTGGAAGCCAGTCTGCTCTGGAAGAGCTACATAGCTATCTCAAACTCAGCAACAGTCTTAACAATTTAATCACTGTGTGCAGGATTCCCTAGGACTCCCAACACTGTTTTTAATCTTTATCCTCGAATACTTGATTTGAATACTCACCTGCCCCTTTAATGATTTTTTTTTTCCTTCTGTGAGTTGTATCTCACTTTATTGCTTTTTGCATACAGAACTGCCTCTTACTAGCCTTCTTCATAGTATATGTCAGCTGCTGTAGTCACCTGCAGCCATTTGCAGTTTAGTATCATTTGTACATTTCATTAGCACGCTATTTCTTTTCTGTCTTCCAGATGCTAAATAGGCTGGACCTAACACTGATGCCTTTGGTAACCAATTCAACAAGTTCCTCGTGCTCAATAGACCATTGTTTGTAGTATCACAGCCTTTGCTCACAATCTGTCAGCCTAATTTCAACCCACACAGCAAGGTCATTAAACAAGACGGCAGTTTTGGTACAAAGAAGCCTAGAACTCTAAGAATAAAACACTTCCTCACTTTAAGGCATGCTTTGTAGAAAATGGACAGTACCACAGAAATTTGGTTTTTTGTGTGTCAAAGAAAGTATATAAACCTCCCAACAATAATCTCATAAATAAAAATAATTTTTCAGTGCTGCCTTCACATTGTTGTAATCACGGGAAATACATTTATGTTAATGTGTGAGACTCATATTCCAGCACCACAGGTAACACAGTGAAATGCATTAGAAACTATGAAACGGGAATTAAACATGGATTACACTATTCCATTTAACCATTAAACCATTTTAATATTTTAACAATTACTATAAACATTTTTTTCTCAAGTAAAAACTTCTAAACTGTATTTGTTTATATAAGGTTCCTTAGGATTTGTCTTTTCATTTTTTAATGTAATGCATGATAAACTTATTAGCTAGAAAATACCAATATTGTGTAAGATACCTACCAGTAGTTCACAGTAGTTGTATCATGACTGACAATGCCTTCCCTTGCATAGTTTTTGTTGTGTACATTCTTGCTCTAGTAATCCATGATATGAGTAAGAGAGTTTGTTCATAACTATATTGCTCAAGTACTTTCTTTTAAAATATAAAAAAAAAATCACACTACTAGAACATCAGATTTCCTTTACTTCATGCTCACACCACACCATTCAACAAACAAAGAATATGGATCTATGAGATTTTAAGATTTTTTAAGCATCAATACTGCGTAATTTGTGTTTTGCATGATATTCGTGGAATAACACCATAAAAGCATAAGATATTAATAATGTTATTTAAGGTATACGTAAAATTAATGAACTGATCAAGTAATGTGATCTGCAGGAGAAAAAAAAAAAAAGCAGTAAAGATTTGAACTCTTTGACATTGAAAGACATTTCTTGTTTTAATTTTCTTTTTACAGCTTGGATGCACATCTAGATAACAAATAGTTATTTGGCTATATCTTAAAGTAAAATAAACAATTTGTTAGCATAGCTAACACTTTAGAAACCATTATGGACTTCTCCTATTCACTCTGAAAATAGATGATTTTTCTATTATTATTTTACTTTACAAATATACTGGCACAGATCTTTTTTAAACTCATGGGAAGATGTGAACAAATTAGATTCCCAAGTGTCTATAAACTGACTTTCAGTTAGCCTTGAGGTTTGTTTTTAAGACATGCTCAATTTTCAGTCACAGTTCTGTTCAATACTCTTAGCATACTGAGAAAAGAAGAGGCGTCCCTTTCTTTAATCATTCAAGCTGAAATTTGTAATTATATTTGCTTAAACTGTTTTACAGAGTAATGTTTAGTGCAATAATCTCAAAATGTGAGTAGTAAAAGGGGTCAGTGGCATGTTTCAAGTTTCCTTAAAAGTCAGAAAAAAAAACATTACTATTTATTAATCATGCAACATACACTTAGTCCTCATAAAATATTAACATATATTGCTTCCTACATCAATAAAAAGTATACTTTACACAAAGAAAGAAAACCTGCTTAAGAAAATGCTAGCTGAACTTACTAAGCATTCTAACAATTATCATAAAAATGCTAGAAAATATAGATATGTTAAGCAATCCTAAAATCTTCTTAAACCACACATTGTGCTTTCCTACAGAGAATTTTAAGATGAAAAATAGACCTTGAGGGTCTTAGACAAGCCTGAGGCAATATAAAGAAAAAGGTCAAACACTCTGCT